TTTTGGTTAGATATTTTTTATTCGGACAAGTTCGAATCCAAAACTTCAAATTCTATTTGAGTATCCCAAGTCGAGTAACGAGACACATAAGCTTTGCATCCTGTAGTGTTTTTATCCATTGCATCGGTCCTCGCACCACTCACTATGAGCAGTAAATTCTCCACATTCTCTGGTAGAGACGCGCTTCCCCGTCGCTAAGGCAGAAATAGTCTCAACCGTTGGCGAAGCTGGGCCGATTTCGATCGCACAATTTTTCCCCCGAAATTGACAAGGACATTGCAATTAAAGAGTGTGAAGTGAAATGGGACATGATGATGCCCAGTAAATTTCCATCGCAGCATTTAATTGAAGGTCAGCTAAACATTGGAGAGCCAGTTAATTATGATAGTTTCAGTTCGCGGCAGATGGGACAACTTTTACCGAGTTCTTTACACTCGTTGCCGCCGTGTAGCAACTTCTGTCACGTTATATGCCATTATAAACAAATGCCGAAAAGCGAATTTCACAATTTTGCTCGTATTTCCGGAAACATTTGACCCCTAAATAACGATCGGGTAAGACGATGAACTGATACTGGGGATAAAGTACCCTCCCCCGGTACACTTTACTCGCTGCAACCTTCCATCGGGACTTGATCTACCGAAATATTGTTCGAGAATTTTAGTGGGAAATGAGTAAATTGTTTAAAACGGATGCAGCGAATGAATTGGGTGGAAATTACACGGCACGCGTGGCGATGTGCCTAGAAGCGTTAAACCCCACACCATGGTGCGAGCTTTATAATAAATCTTCAACACATTTTATACCCAATTTCAACAATTGAAACGAGCCTAAACTCAACCTACCTACATTAATTTTAAAATGATTTGTTTGAAAAACAAACACAGAAACTCCTGGTTTATGCTAAAATATACACTATTTTGAAGCCGAATAAAAACAGAAACTGTGACTTGAAAATAATAGAACGGATTAAAAGAGATATATTCTTGCAATCGTTGGATCGGCGTGCAAATAAAAACAAATATCAACTGATTAGTATGTGTGGAAACGGGTTACACCGATATCGTTCCGTAACGATTGTACACAGGTGTATACTTGAAGCACAGCCCGTGTCCGTTACAACGCAACGCAGTTGTTGGAGCAAAATTAATTCCATCTAGTTTCAGCTTTTACTCTAAGTATCGAGATTTTTTTTCCATCCCCATTATCATTTGTAAACAAAACAAAAACTAACACAGATATCTGTGTTCCATTGTGAGGTATTGTAGACAAAAATCGATTTTCTTGATACGTGGAAACTGGTTTAACGAGCGGGAATAATAACGTTTTTTTTTCTTTATTATATAATTAATACATATTAATATTATTTAATCCAAGCTAACTCCTCTGTATACAACACACAGACACCCTGATGTGCTGTGTTGTACTGTGTTTCAGACTCGCGTGGAGTCTAAAAAGCGGCAGGCCGAGTGAATGGAGCACGCATTGTTTGATGATTCGATCTTGTGATCGTTTTGATTGACGCGCGTTTCAGTGCGTTGTTAGTGTACGTTTTCAATACGGGCATACCACAAACAGTCCCAGCGTGGTTCGCCAATATCTCAATCTTAATCCCCGGGTGAACTTGGGAATATACAACGCCATTCCCTTCTGTGTTAGACCGCGTAGCACCACTCGAGGTATTGAACACAGGGCAGACTGTTAGAATAGAATTAGTTAATGTTTACTTTGCGACCAAGACAAAAGTACAAGAAACCAATATAGACCAATAAATCTTTTACCAATATATGCCAGAAATCCCTACAATACAATAAGCACGCCACGTTTGAACCACGCTCAAAACCAATTATTAGATTAATTCGAAATTATATAAATATTCATACATACGGTAGATATTTTCTGTTATTATGTTTTTCTTTCAAAAATATTAAAATTATACTATTATTGGAAAGCACGTCGCAAATGCGGTCAATTGTGCATGACGAATAGGCTTCAAATCGGATTGGATAAAGTCGCAAAATTAAAACCAATACTCGAATATGATCGGAAAAACCGAGGATCGATGTTGTTTGAGAATCACAGAGAAAATAGTCTACCGAGTGAACTCAGCGTTTGAACTAGAAATCTGAGTGATTCAAAAGACGAATAGACAATCATTCAATTGGTTTACTATCGATTAAATAAATATTGTTTGAGAGAAGACAGGTTGCCACTATAATACGGTTAACAGGTGCAATGGATGGACAGTCATAGAGTGTACTAACTATTTCTCTTCTCGATATTACACCGAGGCTGAATATTCTACAGAAGTGTGGGCAGGATCACGCCATAATCCGCTTTATAACCCCAAATTCAAATGTTCCGTCAGTCTTGTTTCTACTTTAATAACCTTGACAATGTTTAACATTCATAATTGTACCTTGATTAGCGCATCTGCCGTGTTTTTTTTTTATCCCAGATATACTCATTCGATTGAAAATGAAACATTTTAAGCGGAAACGAACTCACTGGAGAGGAAGCTCGTAATACCGTATTGGTTTCAATTACAAGAAAACTTGTGGAAGCTCTTTGTTTTCTGTGCATCGATTCGACACACGTGGTGGGTTTCATTCGATGTGTTTTTTAAGTGTCGTCTGCCCTATAATGATTGCATAATTCTTATGGAAGCGTGAAGTTCATTTGTTTGTTTTTTTGCTTTCCCGTATGCGTCACTACGTTTTTGATAAAGCTACGGAAATCACCCATTAACAAATACTAACAGTCCCTACAGTAGAACATTATCCTTGCGCAAGGGCGTCGAGATCGGAATTAGTGTCCCCCTTTAGTGCCTTTAGCGAAAAACTAATAAGAATAATTAAATAAACTGATATTATAATGAATTTATACTCAACGTATTTTACTGTCATCACCGACGCACGCACGCACGCGCGTTTGGTCGTATTGTTTTGTGTTGTCTCCCCGTAAGAGAAACGGACTTTGGATACTGAAATCGACCTGAATGGTGCCGGTCCCTTCGGATTTCACGTACTTGATCATAGTCCATATAGCCCGGTAGAAATGAGCCCCATAGTGTGGAAGATCCCAGTTGTATAATGGTAAATTTAGCCGCACATGTATAATTTAGCCAGAGCGGGAAATATATCGTACTGAAGGTTTCTAATACTCGTAGTATTAATTCAATCACTGCTTAGGGGCTATGTTGGCTAAATAGGTAGTCTCCGTCGTGTCTGCGTCTCGAGAATGTGAACTCTCGCCGCACACTTAGCCCAAGGTGGAATCGTACGGTGATGATCACAAGGGGTCCGCGGACTCATCCCACTTCATATTTGATAGGTGCAATGTTCCTCCACCGCTTTGCAGAATTATGTGACTCCGTCAAAATTAGTTTATGACATGTAACACACATGGATTAAATTGTCCACGTCTTCCGGCGATTTAAACTTCACCCCGTTTTTTGTGTGTTCAAACGGTAGTGATGTTTATCATAATTGTACGCCTCCCCGCGCCGTGCTACTGCGTTAATAAATACATTGAAATACCAGATCGGTTCAATCACCCACAGTTACTACCCTTTAGTACGTGGAATTTATTTGCACCATTCAATGTATTCTGGTGTGTTGCTATATACCACGTAAATGTATCGACGAGCTCCTATTGTGATATATTCATGCATAAAGCGTAATTTTACTAGATAAAAAAAAATCGAATTTTAGAAGTCTTAAAAGTTAATAAGCTAATGACACCGGTTACGCACGCGGAGAACGGTAGCTTGTCGATTCACCGTATGACACGTACCCATATAGCATATTAGATATCGGTGTGGAAACTCCGTAAAATCAATTCCTGGCGAAACTTTTAAGAAGATCGCAAATGTTAACACGGATTATGCCTTTAAAGATAAATCTACGTCAGATAACCACATTAAAATCAAATTTATTTAATCTTGGTAATTGAAAAATACTCATTAAATTGACTTGGAAATTGTATGGACGAAGTGGTCACATGTCACAAGCCCTATAGTCAAGCTTTGTTAAACGCACAAGTCGGCCGATTAAATTTTACTTTTAACGTTGGATATTGAGTATCGTTCTGTGGTCATGTCATTATCTTTAACTGGGACATCGTCGATAGTGTGTTAGCGATACTGTCGACCTGGCTTTGCAATAAACTTTCGCTGAGTTTCCTTAAGACAACAGCGAAAACTTTTGTTAGCTGATTGAATTAACAGAAGGCGGAATCCGACGTTCGCCGGCGCTCCGGAAACCGTTGACAACTCCAATTGAGATTCACTCATAGTGTATGTCATTGGGGAGCTCAGCTATTCGCACTGGGCGAGGAAATAAGAACGACTTTCCGGATAACTTGTCAGGGTCACCGCTTTTAAACACGCTAAAACCTCGACAGGTTGTTTATTGTGTTCAGTTCCGTAACGTTGTCGCGAAAACCGGTCGAGTGCACCAGAAAACGTTCTTCGTTTTGTCGTGCCCGTTGCCTGTGTCTCAATCCAGGTAACGGAACTCTCGACTGCACGCATTCAAGTTTGCCACTGGCACGTCCTTGACTGGAGTACGGGTCCCTCCTGCCCCTGTACTATGCTGTGATCACGATAGAAATTACTGCAGTGTCGTGTCTACTGTTTGCCCAAGTCCCGCTTTCAATAAGACATTTCGTAATCCGATCAATTTGGTGTTTTGGCCAATAACATGATGAGTGTTCTGAGAGTTGAGTCTAGCACGAGTCATTTCTTTGCTTGCCGGTTCTACTGCTTTGCGCTTGATCCCCGAAGTCAGCAAAAAACAGCGAGAAAAAATGCTAAAATACTCATAGTCAAAACACCCGGGACTCTAATGCAAACATTGGGAACGAAATATGATGAAAAATTTAAAAGTTTGACAAGTTGCTCATAAATGAATGAATATTCGGTTGCATCACATTATTTTATAAAATAACGTAACTGAAATATAAAAAAGAAAGAACCCGGAAAAAAGAGAAGGACTTACTGAGTGTAACTTGCTAAGAAGAAATAGTGTCAAGTTGAAAGAAGCTTGGCGACCTCAGTGGACAAGTTATCAATGTACGGCGACTGGAGGAAAGTTCGAACGACTTGTAACGTAGTAGCAAAGCCGTAGTTTATGTACAATACAATTGCCGGGCCTTGCTTCGCAGTTTACCGGTTGGTCGGCCGAATTGTGGAGCTCGCCCTCACGTGGCAGTGGATGGAAATGTACGGATAAGCCCGTCAGGCGTAGTGCTGTAACTTTCAACCTCTAATGAAAGCGAGGTCACGTCCCCGACGGTCGCCAAGTTAACTTAATTGTGGAGGGGATCGGCAACTCGTATAATCTCCACACCGAATGAATAGAACCTAAACCACTGCTGAAAAACACCGCAAAATTATTCACGGTGATCAAAAAAGCAGTGATCAACCTATACGCGACGGATTAGTCGAAGACCCAAACCAGTATCAATAGAGACAAAGATCGGGAGAAAAAAGACGCTCAACCCTGAAAAGAATAGTTTGCTTCACCTTAATTTTGCAATGTTACTAACCGTAATTAGAAATGCTTACGAAGAAATCCTCTATAAACCAAGACAGCAGTGTAAATGAATACGTGCTCTAGATGGATTATACAAAGATCTATTCGGTGAAAAAAGGAATACACGTATATATGAGCAAATAATATACCAGTACAACTACTCCACGTTTAAATCACCATGACCCCCATAACAACTTTAGCTTAGAGAAACACAATTTTCAATCTAAAAGAGACCAGGTTGTTGTTTTTTGTGAAGTGAATGCCGTCTTGCAGTTCTGTCTGTATCTTTCTTTGTGTATTTTTTGTTATAGGACATATGGGACGAATCCGTCGTTTCTGTATACTGTTTTGTTCCCTGCTTCATCCCACGTACGGCGTAGAGAATACCCGACCTGATTTGTCATCTGCCATGACTCGAATTAGTCGATTGATTTATATAAATATCGGTATTAATGTTTTTACCCCGAGGCTGTGGAGTCTAGTTTACAGATACACCGTAATTCCGGGAGTTTTGTTCTCATCGTATTTGGATCTCTTTCGCATTAAACCAATTTCGAGCATGTGTGTATGGTGTATGTCTGAAGAACACACGAATGTTGAAAAGTAATGTACAAAAAAAAAAAAAAGATACGCACGAACACGTTAGTTTTAAAAAATCACAGATTTTTTTTTCAAAAGCAGACTTTGCAAATCCCCTGTAGCAGCTGCGCGTGTTATTGACTCTATAAAACACGAACACGTCGATTTCAGGGGATAAAACACGTCCAGACATACGCAAATGGCGATAATCTTTTCAAACCAAAATACAACAGATCATGTGCGAGGTAACCACATGGAGCAACAAACGTTGAAAGAAACAAATATATTAAAACTGAATAACACTTAAAAAACGAAAAAACACACGTGACGTTAAGCATATTTGTTGCTCGCCTAACTGCGACAAATCATCACTGGATTTAACGTTTAAACACGTGTTGTATGGACTGACACTCCGACCACAAATTACCGTACCCATCGGGTACAACATTAGAAAATAAATTCTTGTATCGTAAGAGTACCATTGTATTTCTCCCAACAGTGTCGCCGAGTAAATTGTCTTCCATGACCATGGCGCACAGGGACTCCCGCACACGTGCCACCGACGTATACTGACTCACAGCAAACCGAGTGGGTACAGAAATCGACATTCTAAGGTTATATATTAAACCGATACATCTTGTTATGCAATCAAAATTAGTTAAACTAACCACACTCCGCTTCAACACACGACCTCCAGGTTGAAGGATGGCGATTGATCGACAAAAGAAAAATAAATTCTCGGATGTTAAAAAAAAACGATTAGTTGCGCTGATTATGTACAGATCTCCATACTTGAGCGTTGTATAGTTAGGAATCCTGGTCACCGAAACCCGTCACCATTATTGATGTCTATTTCAGATTGCATGTTTACAGTGAGTGTAGTACATACACTAAGCTAGCCGTAGCAGGACACAGGAGGATTGGACCGTCTTATCTTATAACAAACTTCGTATTCGCATTGTAGCATACCACTATCTCGGCTTAACTGTCAGTTATTAATTAGTTACGTAATCATCACCCCAAACGACTGAGGTTGAAACTATTTCAGGTATATCTCGCTATGGACGGAGAAAACCAACAACAGAGGACAAACTGACTGACCATATTCAAAAGTACACCGGTTTTTAAAACAGACGTGGCATATTCGGGCTATGGTGTAAAGCGGACAGTCCGTTGCAAAAATATGTCTAAATAAATGTTCAAGTTTAAATTTTATGATATATAAGTTTCTTCAAAGTCGTATTTGTGTGTACGGGCCATGTTTTAAATTCAGCTCTAGTGTGGAATCAAGGGACGGAACACATTGGACTCAGTCTCATTTAACGCATACACATGGGTGGTGTTGCGGTCGGCGCACCATGGTATCGAGTAGTGGAGACATTATGGAACACGCAAACTAATTATGGATTATAAGTATAATCTGGTTGTGTCCGAAATAAATAAATAAACAAATAAACAAATAAATAAACAAACAAACAAACAAACAAACAAACAAACAATGA